ATCTAACAATTTAAACAAATATTCATAGTGTTCGAAAATTTGTGATGCGAAGGACCATTCGGCACAGTTAGTCGGGATCGCCGACACACTCAGCGATCTGCCATTTGGTTTGGTTCATCGCCTTTCTGCTTTTGCCTTCAGCATTCTCGCGTTTTGAGGCATTGAACGATAGAGTGCTGCTCCACAGAACTTCTCGGCGACGCGCCGATTGCTCATTTTCATCACAGACTTGACCTTCTCCTTCAGGGCTCAGCACACTGCAACATTCGGCGAGATTTTGGACCTTTCGGCGACTCGCCTAATAGTTTAGGCGATCCTCAGGAAGTCTTTTATCCGTTCATTCAGCCGCTTTGTTCCTTTTTGCTTGATAGCATCCAAGCTTTGTCTATCAATCTAAATACCTGAAACTTAAAGGTATACATCAGCTATTGAGACAAAATATGCATTTAAGGGCACTAATTCTATTAAAATATAGCCCTAAATGAGTCCAAATTGTGGACTCATCAGGTACTCGCCTTCATGTCCATTCATCATGGTAAGAACGTGGGAACCCACCTATTGTTCAATTCTAAGGAGTATGAGAATCACCTAATATCCTTACATATGGAGGTCAAGGGTAATCACATCTAGCCTCATCAATTACATAAGCTTTTAGTCTAGATTCATTTTAGGTAAGCAATCCTTTCAACCTAGAATCATTCATGTGAGCAAACCTTTCACATTCATACAGTCATGCTTAGAAATTCATTACGGGAAGTATCCCTTTCACATCATAACATTAACAATCAACAATTTATAGTCTAGGCTTTACTCTCAAAGAATTGCATCTCATGACCATCATTTATGCTTTACTCTCAAGTAATTAAAATCATATTACTCATATATGTTTTAATCCTAAGCAATTCTAACCATACTTCATCAATCCAATAAGGATATATCTAACCCAAAAGTTTCCCTTCATGGCATCAACCCAAATCATATCAATTCTACCCTAGGTTCATATAATAGGCATGGGTACATGTAATTTAATCCTAAATACATGCAATTCTATCAATTCAATCATAAACAATCACAATCCACTCAATTGGATCAACATTCATCATAGTCCACAACATTGAAAGAAACCCTAACTAGAATTGGGGAAATTCTTCTTCAGATTGTGGTTCTAGGGGACTCCATGGGAGAAAGGATCCCATGGATGAAAAGCCATCATACCTTGATTACAATGCCCTCCAAAGCTTGAAGATTGGGAGACTTGATCTTGACCTAGCTCCAATTTCTTCCTTCTTCTTCCAACTTCTAGTGAGAGAATTTTTTAGAAGAGTTTTGGGTTTAATTTTGAGATTTGAGAGAATGACTTGAATGAGGGGTTTTAGGGGTTAAAATGCTTATATATGTGGTTTAGACTTAGGCAAAACGACACCACATTGATTTAATTAAAACCGGAAAAGGCCCATATGTCCTTAAAATAACTGCCAGCTCTCTATCCACGGAACCCCGACCGATGGACCATCGACTGACCTACGGTCCGTCCTGGTCAGTCGTGGTCTATGGTCAGAGAGTTTTGGCAAAACAATGGTTTGGTGGACCATGGGGCGTGGACCCACCTACGATTCGTAGGTCCCACCGTGGTCCATGCCTGGACCAATGTAGGTAGCCCTCTCCATGACCCTTACCTACGACTCATGGCTTGACCCACGGCCCATGGTTAGGCCTTCGTGGATGGCACCTATAAGTCCTGAAAAGTTGCTACGTTACCTCTTTCAAATCCGGGGTGTTAAATTTGTTTCCCCTTGGGATTATTCGTCCTCAAATCAAATTTTAGGAACATTTCTAAATGAAAAAACTTAAGACTAGCAGCCCATCATGCATGCAACACCTCTAAATACACACAAACGAGGAGGAAACCTCAAATCGTAGCTCAACATACTTAATGCACCCAAAGGGAGTAGGAACTACATCTGACAACCCAATATGCATGAAATTTTAACATTTCTCATATTCAAGGGGGAATTATCATCTCCAACTCAAAAGCAATGCTCTACACAATCTCATGGAGCTCATATGCAATTCTATCTCAAAACGCATATCTAAATATGTTTATCAATTCATCTCATGAAGTCTATAGGGAACTCATACTCAATGCACAACAACATGAAGAAAATAAATCACAAAAGCCAACTTTTTTCAAAACTTGAACCTTTTCATGAACATGCAATTTAAGGAAATCATGGAAACACATAAAACACACATGACTTCAAACATAAGCAAACCAAGAGGAACTCATTACCTCAAGCTAGAATAGTAGGAAAAAGATGAGGATACCGGACATCATATCGGCCTCGGCCTCCCAAGTAGCACCCTCAACTTGATGGTTTCTATATAACACTTTCACGGAGGCAACCTCTTTGTTCCTCAATCTCTTAACTTGCCGATCTAAGATCACAATAAGAACTTCTTCATAAGAAAGGTTCTTTTTCACTTCTAACCCTTCTAGGGGAATTATGGATGTCGGATCTCCAACACACTTATTGAACATTGAGACATGGAAAACCGGATGCACCGATGCCAACTCAATTGGCAAATCAAGCTCATATGCAACCTTACCAACACGTCTCAAAATTTGATATGGGCTTACAAAATGGGGACTAAGTTTCCCTTTCTTACCAGACCTCATTACACCTTTCATGGGTGAGATTCTCAAGTAAACCCAATCAAGCATATCAAATTCAGGGTCTCTTCTTCTAACATCGGCATAAGACTTTTGTCGGCTTTAGGTCGTTCTCAACCTCTCTCAAATGAGTTGAACCTTCTGTATAGCCTCATGCACTAACTCGGGTCCTATCAAAGAAACCTCACCCACTTCAAACCATCATATAGGAGAGCTACACCTCCTACCATAAAGAGCGTCAAACGGGGCCAGACCAATACTCGAATGGTAGCTATTATTATAGGCAAATTCTATCAAGGGCAAATGGTCATCCCAATTTCCCTTGAAATCTATCACGGAAGCCCTCTACATGTCTTCCAACGTTTGGATTGTTCTTTCCGCTTGCCCATAGCTTTGGGGGTGAAAAGTTGTGCTAAGCTTAACTTTATTGCCAAGACCCTTTTGGAAAGACTTCCAAAACTGTGAAGTAAACTGAGTACCTCTATCATGGACAAGGGAACTTCATGCAACCTTACCATCTCTCTCAAATATAGCTTAGCATAATCTTCTGCCATATAAGAAACCTTGATGGGAATGAAATGAACCTACTTCGTCATTCGGTCTACTATAACCCAAATTGAGTCATATTGTTGCCGAGTTTGTGGCAACCCTACTTTGAAGTCCATGTTCAAATCTTCCCACTTCTAAGTATGAATGCTAATATCTTAGGATAAACCTCCCGGTTTCTGATGCTCAACCTTCACTTGTTGGCAATTAGGACACTTAGCCACAAATCCCGCAATATCCTTCTTCATCCCATTCTACCAATAGATCTCCCGCAAATCACGGACATCTTGGTGGCTCCAGGGTGAATAGAATACTGAGAACTATGGGCTTCTGACAAGATATGTTCCCTCAAGTCATCAACATTCGGATAATACAAATGACCTTGGTACCTTAGGACATCATCCCCCCTTGGGAGAAAGCCTCTTCGGACTTCTTTATAACCGTCTCTTTCAATTCAACTAAGGTCGGATCAAGACATTGCTTTACTTTAACATTAGCCACGAAAGACAATTCGGAACCATTATAGACCATAACACCAACCTTGGTGGAATCCACTAGTTGAACTCCCAATCGGGCCAAGCTATGAATATCTCAAACCAACTATTTTCTCTCATCATCAACATATGCAACACTACCTATGGATAACCGACCAAGGGGATCCGCTACTACATTCGCCTTTCTGGGGTGATAAATAACACTCATATTATAATCCTTCAATAATTTAAGCCACCTTCTTTGGCGAAGATTTAGATCTTTTTGGGTAAACACATATTCCAAACTTTTGTGATCAATGAAAACATCAACATGGACCCCATACAAATAATGCCTCCAAATCTTTAGGGAAAATACCATCGCCGCTAATTCAAGGTCGTGGGTAGGATAGTTCTTCTCATGAACCTTTAGTTGCCTTGAAGCATAGGCAATCGCCTTACCATTTTGCATAAGCACACATCCCAATCCAACTCTAGAGGCGTCACAATATACTACAAAGCCATCTGTTTCTTCCGATAAGGTCAACACCAGAGCAGAAGTAAGTCTATCCTTCAACTCTTGGAAACTTTTCTCACAAGCTTCAGACTATATAAACTTGGCCTTTTTTTGAGTCAAAGCCATCAATGGAGAATCAATGGAGGAAAACCCCTCAACAAATCTTCTATAATAACCGGCCAAACCCAAGAAACTTCTAATATATGTTGGTGATAGAGGTCTAGGACAACTCTTGACCGCATCCATCTTCTATGGATCTACCTCAATACCCTTGCTTGAAACTATATGGCCAAGAAAAGCTTTCGGACCTTAACCAAAACTCATATTTGCCAAACTTTGCATAGAGTTGTTGGTCCTTCAGAATTTGCAATACAATTCTCAAATGATCAATATGCTCATTCTCACTTCTTGAATAGATCAAAATATCATCTACGAACATAATTACGAGCATATCAAGGTATTGTCTAAACACCCTATTCATCAAATCCATAAATGACGTCGGGGCATTAGTCAAACCAAAGGACATAACCAAAAACTCATAATGACCATATCGGATTCTAAAAGTTTTTTTCGGAATATCTTACTCTTTCACCCTCAACTGGTGATAACCCGACTGGAGATCAATTTTGGAGAAATAACTTGCCCCTTGAAGTTGATCAAATACATCTATTCTTGGAAGAGGATATTTGTTCTTGATGGTTACCTTGTTCAACTGCCGATAATCAATATATATACGGAGTGAACAATCTTTCTTCCTAACAAACAACACCAGAGCACCCCATGGAGAGATACTCGGTCAGATGAAACTCTTATCCAATAAGTCCTTTAACTGATCATTCAACTCCTTAAGTTCCACCGGAGCTATTCCATATGGAGGAATAGAGATAGGTTGGATGTCGGGGAGAAGGTCAATCCCGAAGTCTATTTTCCTTTCAGGAGGAATACTGAGTAAATCATCGGGGAAAACTTCCAGAAACTCTTTTACAATTGGGACCGACTCAAGAATAGGAGTTTCAAACTCCACATCCATCACCCTCACTATATGGTAGACACAACCCTTCGAAATCATTTTCCTAGATTTTAGGTAATAAACAATTGACCTCTAGGCATAAAGTTTCCCCCTTTCCACTCAAGGATAGGCTCATTTGGAAACTGAAATTTGGCCAATCAATAAAGGTGTAACAAGAATGCAACCAATGCATACCCAAGATAACATTGAAATCTATCATGTCTAGCTCTATCAAATTAACAAGAGTAACTCTATGAGATAAGGAAATGGGACATCTCATATAGACCCTTTTTGCCACCACAGTATCACCAATAGGGGTAGAGACAAAAAAAGGTTCTAACAACACATCGGGAAGCATATCAAATTTCATAGCTACATAAGGGATCACAAAGGACAAAGTAGCACCTGGATCAAGTAAGGCATACACATCTATATGGAAAACTTTTAACATACCAGTCACCACATCTGAGGAACTCTCTTGATCACCTCTAGTTTGGAGAGCATAGAAATGGTTTTGCTTAGAAGCATTCCCACCCGAACCACTCGGACCGGATGAAGGGTAGGGTTGAGCCCTACGGCGACCATCTCCATCATTCTTAGCAACCGAAGGACAATTCCTTATTTTGTGATCCGTCTTTCCACAACCAAAACAAGCATTAGAACCCGCTAGACACTTCTCTTCATGATTTCTCCCACATTTAGCACAAGTAGGCATCGAAGACCTATTACCATCTCCTTGAGGTTTTAGGTTAGACACCCTTTCATTATTAGGCCTTGTTGGAGAACTAGAAGAACCTTGCCCAGAGAATTTTTGTCGAAACCTTGAACGACCACATCCACCGGACCTAGAATGTGAATAGTTACCATCATCCACTCTTGCTCTGTTTGCCTCTATAGATCTTTCCTTGAGCTTTTCTTCCTCAATTTGTTGGGCATCCACCATAAGGATAGAAATGTTTATGTCATGGACAAGCATAGCGGTGAGGCACTCTTTGACTACCATGTCAGACACACCCGACACAAACATACTAATCTTAGCCCTACGATCCGCCACAATGAAAGGAGAATACTTGGATAGTTGAGTGAACCTCAAAGTGTATTCCCTTGCACTCATATTTCCTTGCCTAAGGTTAATGAACTCAAGTACCTTGGCCTCTCTCATCTCTAGAGAGAAGAATCTATCAAGAAAAGCACTTTTGAACCTTTCCCATTCTATGGGACCTGCTTCCACCTGCCTTGCATCTTTGCACTGATTGAACCAAATCTGAGCAACCCTTTTGAGTTGGTAAGCGTCTAGTTCCGCCTTCTCTACCGGAATCACACCCATAATGGAAAGTACCTTGTAAACTTTGTCGATAAACTCTTGAGGGTCTTCCTAAACTTTGGAGCCATAAAATTCGAGAGGGTTCATTCTTGTAAAATCCCTCACTCTTGCCACCACCGTACCCACATTTGAATCACGGGGACTACCACCTCTCTATTGGCTTGTTCCGTCAAATGCTTGAGCCAACACTTTGAATGCCGACCTAAACTTCGCATTTGTTACATTCTCATTCAATGGGTCAATCGAAGCTTAAGGAGGAGCTTGGGGAGGAACCTCTTGATCAATATTGTCTCATTCCATCCTTCTAGCAACCCTTCTAGTAGTCATATCCTAAAAATCATCGGGCATGGATTAGGAGAGAGACTTATAGAATTTAAATCCATGGCACGACTTAGAGAAGTTAAGAAGTGAAGTTTCCTAAGAATCTAATAGTCTCTCATTCATAAATATGATGCACTTTACACTTATGAAAAAAACTCTACTAGACGTGGTTTGAGACATCCTAAAACTATTCTAAACCTTGTGCTCTGATTACCAAAGTTTGTCACGACCCAGGGGTACCACCTAGATGTAACAAGGTGTATAAGACCCCGAGAGGCCTCATACAAGCCACTTAGCATATCATAACATAAAGTAATAGAAATGAGCGGGAATTTAAAACTTTTCAATACAATCAAAGTCTTTTATAAAACGAGCGAAGGTCTAACATCATTGTCTCGAACACAATGAGTACTCACCAAAACTTCACTTCCTTGATCAACAACGAAGCTAGCCACGAGTGTGAGAATCAATGTCGTTGGACCCTACATTTGATAAGAATGTAGGCAAGAGTATATGTTAGTACAATCAAGTACTAAATATGATGGCGAGCATAACAACATAATCATAAGTGTTAGTCAACATAAGACATAGGGCATAAACATAATCAATACATAATAAGCATCATAATGAAAGAGGAATACTTCCTTAAGTAACCTCACTTATCCTTACCCAAGACATAGGTCATCTGCCTCTAGTAAGCTTGCATCATGGAAGGCATATCTAGCAACACTCCAATCAAATCATCTTCATAAAATAATTACATTATTCATACTTACTTTTAAAGACATGGGGATTTGCCTCAATTCCTAGCTTATAAAGGCTAATAGGTATTCGCCTCTTACCTTACTTACTTTTAGATCGCGGGTACTCGCCTCCACAATTTCATCATATGACACGGATACTCGCCTCCACATCATTTCATAAGGAGCATGGGTACTCGCCTCCATGTCCATTCATCATGGTAAGAACGTGGGACTCACCTCTTGTTCAATTCTAAGGAGTATGGGAATCACCTCATATCCTTACATATGGAGGTCAAGGGTAATCGCCTCTAGCCACATCAATTACATAAGCTTTTATTCTAGATTAATTTTAGGTGAGCAATCCTTTCAACCTAGAATCATTCATGTGAGCAAACCTTTCACATTCATACAATCTTGCTTAGCAATTCATTATAGGAGGTATCCATTCCACATCATAACATTAACAATCAACAATTCATAATCTAGGCTTTATTCTCAAAGCACTACATTTCATGACCATCATCTATGCTTTACTTTCAAGCAATTAACATCATATTCATCATATATGCTTTAATCCCAAGCAATTCTAATCATACTTCATCAATCCTATAAGGAGATATCTAACCCACAAAGTTTCCCTTCATGGCATCAACCCAAATCATATCAATTCTACCCTAGGTTCATAGGATAGGCATGGGTACATGTAATTTAATCCTAAATACATGCAATTCAATCATAAACAATCACAATCCACTCAATTGGATCAACATTCATCATAGCCCACAACATTGGAAGAAACTCTAACTAGAATTAGGGAAATCTTCTTCAAATTGTGGAATTCTAGGAGACTCCATGGGAGGAAGGATCCAATATATGAAAAGGCATCATACCTTGAGTACAATGCCCTCCAAATCTTGAATATTGGGAGACTTGATCTTGACCTAGCTCCAATTTCTTCCTTCTTCTTGCAACTTCTAGAGAGAGAATTTTTTAGAGGAGTTTTGGGTTTTCTTTTGGGATTTGAGAGAATGACTTGAATGAGGGGTTTTGGGGGTTAAAAATGGTTATATAGGTGGTCTAGACTTAGGCAAAATGACACCACATTGATTTAATTGAAACCGAAAAAGACTCATATGTCCCTAAAATAACTGTCGGCTCTCTATCCACGAAACCTCGATCGACGGACCGTTGTGACCTACGGTCAGTCCTGGTCAGTCATGGTCCATGGTATGAGAGTTTTGGCCAAACGACGGTTTGCTGGACCATTGGGCGTGGACCCACCTACGGTCTGTAGGTCCCACCGTGGTCCATGTTTGGACCAATGTAGGTAGCCCTCTCCACGAGCCCTACCTACGGCTCGTGGTTCGACCCACAACCCATTGTTAGGCCTTCGTGGATGGCACCTGTAAGTCCTAAAAGGCTACATTCCCTCTTTCGAATCTGGGTGTTACAATATATATACCCCTAGGCTACACTCAACATCTAATTAATTAAATATTAAACATTTATTAGAAAGACAATGATTAATTAAATTATAAATTACAATGGATTGTTTAATGTACTTATCATTTTACTTATATTAAATTTACTTTTATTATATTATATTATATTATATTATATAAATAAGCTTCTATCTTCAAAGTTAAATTACCATTTTACCCTTGTTTTATATCAAAAATAATAAAAGCATCTAATTATATATCTTATTCATGTCACATTTATATTGCAATTAATTCATTGAATACAAATTTTATTAATATTTGTTTTATTATCTTTTCTAAAATGCATGTCTGCTTTTTCTTTTCTCCATAAAATAATTAATTACAACATTTTTTATGCATGCATCTTCAGTTAAGTGCTCACTTCTATAATTTTCATATATTTAATCTTATTATTCTCATTTCTTAATCTTGTCTTTTCAAATTTCTCACTCAAATGAAAAAAATACAAATGAGTAGTTATTCCTTAAAGACAAAAAAATTAAAGTATATATATGTATCTTTTAAAGTTAAATTTCATGTTCTATCTTCTTAATATTTATTTTAATAGTATTTGACCTTTCAAATTTTCATGTGACTTTTCATGTTTCCGCAAATTTAATTCTATAATTTCACTTTTCCGAGAAAGACTTTCATTTATTATTCCTACAATTCTTGTGTGTCGGAGCTTTAAACTGGTGAAATAATGTCACAATTTGTGGTGAAAGTTGTGAAAGTTGTGAGATTTCCTTGTACAGTCACAAGTATAGACAGGAATTCAATTGCTGAAGCATTGGAGCTTGGTGTGTTTGTTTTATACTTATTTGTAGTAATTAAAATTATAATAATTTTTTTCTATCTCTCTTTATAAAGTTGAATTGTTGCTTTGTTAGCAACTTGCTTTAATTTCATATTTTATTTTGCATGCTCAAATATAGACTATTTTTTATGTTAGTTTTGTTTCATATTTCACTATAGAGACAAAAACAAAAAGGAATTTTTATGTTCTTTATACTTTTAAATTTACATGTACATTAACTTTCATCTTTAAGAATGTATACTCTCTCACTTCTTCTTTTTTTGAAAAAGAGGAAGAAGGTGAAACCTATAACATTGATAATTAATGGTGTATAAGTTATATAGGAAATACAATTAAATTTTATATATAAATAGTAGTTATATTCATAAATATTATGATTTTCAAAATATAAATAATAAGACTTTTTACACCATAATTTTTAATATTTATAATTAAATAATTAGTTTAAGTGCTTGTGGATAAAAATCTAATATAATATCTTGAAGACTTCATTATAATTATCAGGAGATTCAAAAGGTAATGTAAAAACGTTGAAAGAATTTTTTTCATAATCTCCTATCAAGCTTTTAATTGAAGAAATATTAATATTGCACTATAGTTTGCAGGGGATTAATCTCTTGCAATCTTTTGATCTTCTAACACTATTCTACTAGCGAAAAAAACTTTTAACACTATCGAAAAATTTAAGGAAAATTTTCAAAATGTCAATATTTTAGCATTTAATAAGACCGCTTATCAACATTTTCAATATTTATTAAAAATGTCAATATTTTAGTTTGTTATTCTTCTAATTTATGTGTTTTTAATTTGTTTGATTTGAAATAATTCATTTATTTAATAACAAAATGGAGAAAATCATGGGATAGAATATTTTTTAAAAAGGAACATATCACTTAAAATTTTCATAAAGTAATTGATTGTATTCATTCCAATATGTATGATATGTGAATTTGTATTTGTTATGACTTTCATGTTTGAGTTTGTATAATGACATTTATATTTCTTTATTAGTTTGTATTTATTCTAATAGGTATACCAAATGGATTTGTAGTTATTTAAGAAGCATATTTGTATCCAAAATATTTATGTAAACTCATGTTCATTTAGAAATGATACAACATTGATTTATATATTTTTCAAAAACATATATTCTTTCTTAAAATTCCAACAATATTTGTATTCCAGTCATCAAAACGTACAAATTTACAATCATAGTAACATCAAAATTTGTAATTCAAAAAAAAATGTATTTCTTATATGTTATGTATTCCACAAATATATTATATTCAATGTCTAATTTATTTCTACTAAATAGGATTTTAAATTATTTTGAATTACAAGCATCCAAAATACAACAAAATCAAAATAATTCTATCATTCATTGTTTGTATCCCAAACAGATTATTTTGAAATATGACCGGTGATTCT